AGGAACCTTAAAAAAAATGAATAGATCAGTTAATTTTACTGATTCTATTTAAATAACATTAGATCAATTTCTATCACTTAACACTGAAAGCAATAACAACTGTTTGCTTAAAAAGTGCCACTTTAATGTTGCTAAAAAGAATAATATTATTAAGACCCACCACTGACCCGGAAATGACCGGCATTCAAGCAAGACTTCTATCATTACGGGTACTAAGACCAAGTAATGATATGCATTGATTAGATTAACAAAACAATTATTATTATTATTAATAATACAAAAATAAGGATAGAATTGAATTTTATAAACAAAAAGTTTCACTTTAAAATGAATCTGTGGTTCTATTCCTTGTCAGATGTGAATACATCATAACATTTACCTCCCAAAGTCATCAGGTTTTCAATATTTGGCTTCATCACTAAATGTGACTCCACATTGTTTATTTTTGACGCTTACAACATAAAATTTAATCTAATCTAATTATATATACTTTTACTTTCCAACAGCAAACAAGAGAGGGGTCTATTTGATGAACTGTTGATTTCAAGGTTTTTCTCATACCTTTCAGAATTTATAAAGGTAGGTATTCAGAATCCAACTGTCGGTTGCCGTCGTCGTTTTTTTTTTTTTAATAGATAATACTCAACTAATTGTTATGGAATTTTAAATGTATTTTAAGAATATTGTGTAAAATGCTAGCCAAAATATGTCTAATCATCGCCACCAAAAATTTTAGAACGTCATCTCAAGATTTTAGTTATTTATGTACCAAGGCTATAAAGAGGAAGTTTTTCGGCCCATCTAAAGTTTGAAAAAGTTCTCTTTGGACGTGGTGTATGCAACATTTTTTAGAACACCACATGTAAAAATTCCTAGTTAAATTTGAAAAACAAGTTTATAGAAACAAGCAAAATACACTAGAATTTCAAATCTAAACCACGCTTGGCATGTACCTATGTATTTTTGCTAGCATACACAGAAGGATTTCCATATTTTAATATTTGCTAATTTTTGCGGAATTAATAATACAACTTCTAATCAACGGCAATCACGTACTCATCAACAAAAATCTAAGTTGTATTACTTACACCCCACTGCTGTAATGGTACTTGTTTCGTAGGTATATAGTTATTTACGTTTTTGAGATTAGAAAACTGTTGCTTTTCTTGTTGGACAAAAACCTTGAAGGATTTGCAACAAAATCGGAAGCCTACTTTTCCTTTCAATTAAGAGAATGTAGAAGAAAGGCTATTTTGCAACAAACATTTGGGAACCAATCTCATCTCACTTCATAAATGTTTCAAATATTTGATCCCTCATGCTTCAGTGATTTTTATAATATAATAAATAGAAATAGATCTCATCTTATTGTTAAGGTAATTTGGTAAGATACAAGAAAAATTCCATTAGCTAAAAGTGCTTGATTAAAAAATATGTAAGGTAAACATGCAAGGACTTCAAAGAAAAGTTAGTAAATATGACACTTCCGTCCAAAAAAGTAATTTTGACAGTTCAGTCTGAAAAAATAAAACTTTAGGGCCGCAAATCGAATCGTAAAGTAGCTCTTTTTATATCGGTCCCCAAAAAAATCAATTAAGGCGCTTATGATTTCAGTCCTACAATAAATCATTTTATTCAGTAATTCTAATTAGATATTCAATATGAAGTGTTCTAAAAAATAGAATTATTGCCGAAGCACAAACAACATGCATCTCAAGTGAAAAACTAAAAATGTTTTCGTTTTTATAAACGCATCAATAGTTTCTAAATTCTTCTTTTGCATCAAATAACTATTTTTAGTAGGAACATTTTACACCTCGTTCTAGTTTATTCAGTATATCTGTCGCCTCACCTTTGTGCAACAGATTCTCACAATATTATTCACATTCGGGCACAATGCTATTTAAAATTGCACCAGTGTTTGAACTTCATTAATTGTCAGTGTTTCTAATGTATCTACATCTGGTATCTCACTATATTGCTAAATGTCCGGTTGTCTATTTTTTTTGTTTGGTTTTAAAAAGTGATTTAATGTTAATTAACAGTACTTCATCACTATCGTGCTTACAGTTGGAACTACTACAAATGTTTTTAGATTTTTTTTATCGATAATTTGAAATATGGCACGAAAGCAACACACATAGGATTATTAGTTCTACCACCATACTGTCTCAATTGACCAAAAAATTTTCAATTATCCTGATTAAATGGCCTGGTTGGAAATTTGTCATAACCTAGGTTTTGTAAAGTACTAGCAACTTGAAGGAAACCGTTTATAGTTGTTATCCAACCTGTTAAAACTGCGAGACGTTTTCTTAGATTCCATAGATTTAAATATATGCTCTGCTCTCATCCAAAACTCTTTATGATATGAATCACTAGTATACATTTGTGTACTTTTTTTCTCCTTTCTGGGGGAATTCATACCGCCATTCATACTGTTATATTTCGTCAAAGGTCCGGTTGTGTTTGTTTAATTATATTTTTGTTCAAAAAGTCACCCATCTAAAACTTCATCATTCAATGCATCACCGTTTGCCTTTAAAAGCGCACAGCATTTAATCACTGTAGTCATACTGGAGCTAACGACTTTACACAAGTATATGCTATTAATTTTATTTATTAAAAATTCCTCATCGAGATGCATCGTTGTTTCCGCTTTAGTAGTAAATTTTCATTTTTTAGAAATGTTGATACACCATGTGTAAAAGAATTAATAAATCATTCAATTGCATTAATAAAATAAAAAATGATTTATTTAATTTTAACAAAATGGGAAGACCAGAGCTTAATTTCTTATTTTAATATACATATAACAATATAAAAAAATTCAATTGGCAACACCAACTTTTGAAATGTAAGGAACTGGACTACCTTAATGGCGCTATACATATGAAGGTCTTTCCAAATAGCGTTACTTTTTTTTTGTATCAAATTTAAAACTTGTTGTTTGGCACAGTTTTTACTCTGTTTAGTTTGGTGAAGTACAGGTTTAAATTGTTAATATATATTTTTATATATGCAATATATAACTGTGCATATAGTTTCTATATGCACAGTTGACTAAAATACTTGCATTCAATTATAAATTTGTTGTTACAGGGAAAATTCAAATCCCTAGGTATTGTATGATACAACATTGATATAGTAATTCTTCCCAATAGGTAATACTAATAATACCACTGCATTTACCTCATTTTAATACAGTACTACATTATCTTAATTATGACAATTATGCTGTTGAGTTTGTGCTCACACAGGATTCGATGTTATCTTTTGAAAAAGTTGCACACTTTAACTCCAAATCATTCTCAGTTTCCTTTTTTCCTGTCTCCTTTTACACTTACTCACATTACCTGTAACTTATATTATTTGTATTATGAACATTTGTTTATTGACACATACCGCATAACCAGAGTCTAAACAGGAATGACTGAACAAGCAAAAATTTGTAGTTTTCATTCAAATTCACGGGTGTCCAATTGGGGACAAAAGGCAACGATCACTCCATTACAAACTCAGTTTTACACCACCACAAATTTGGTTAACGCATAAACCCTTAACTCTGAATTAGTTTTTCAGTCTGCACGCAAATCCTTACTATATGCAGTAAGGAATCAATTGCAAGTTACCAACTCCTGCCTGGGCTCTGTTTATAATCGTAACCATTGTAGCTGTAAAAACATGAATTCGTTTCTATTATGTTACCCTATATACACATTTAACTGCATGTATCAACGAAAATTATTATGTAATTTTCTCCTCTGACTGTTTTTAAAATTGTTAGAATTTTCAGATTTTGTGCATTGATTAGTTATTAACAAACTGATGTTTTCACTTCAGTTATATTGTTAGTAGGCTTCTTAACAATAAAATAAATTTTTATAGCACAATGTTGTTTTTCTTGTTAAATTATTTATTTAAGTGAATTTCGGTACCATTAACCTACAAATCAAATCAATGTGTCGATGTCAATGATCCCTGGATCCCCCTCCCCCAACCTCGATATAGTGTAATTAGTTCATCCGTCGAAACGAGATGGCGCCACGTTTTACAATTCGTAATTTTTCAATGAGCCAGTGTTCTTAATTTAGGGTGTTCTGTGCGGGAGACTTATTTCTTCGTACTTGTGGCGACTTCAACCGTCGTATATAGGTCACACACATTACGCGACTCATTAATTGGTCAAACGATGACGCAGGTGCCAAAAGGAGAAGATGAACCAGAAAGAAGTCGAAACTCTCTCTTAGGTCCAGCACACGGTACCGATAACACGTCGGTTCTGTACAATTTGATCGTTGTAAATAGTTGTAAATAAAACACGTTAAACTATCCGTATTTTGTTTCTCCTTGTATAAATAAAAATCGAAGAACGTGAGCACATACTCTTGGGGTTATGAAAGGTCGAGAAAACGTAAAAGTAGAGGGTCGGCCGACGGACTCGATTACAATACTTTCTTGGCTTACGCTCGGGAAGTAAAAAGTTATGGACAGAAAAATTGGAAAAATTAAGGTATGAAAAACTGTGAGCAGTCTTCTAGGATAAATTTTTTACCAATGCAAAACCAAATGTGGCGATGTGCAAACTATCCCCTCCAAAAGAAAGATATAAAACTCGACGATTGAAACTACAAAAACTTTCATCCCTTCATAGTTATAAATGTAGATATAATGTAGATAATTCCATCATCTAAAAAATTCTTTTAAAATTTGTTTGTCAAAATTACCGTTACGGAAATATATGATAAAAACCAATTGCATCCTGCCTTTGAAGACGGCGGCCGAATGAGAGCAGCCCCAGTCTCGAAAATTCAGTTTTAAACTCATCGCAAACCCCCTTACGAAACCCCCCAAAAAAATTCGCTGCCTACACAAAAAGCATGTTCTCATGTCGAATTGACTGTACTAAAATGAAGTTTATTACAATGCGTCTGAGAAATAAGTAAAAACACGCGAGTTATATTAACAAATTTGTTACAACTTAAAAAAATCTCCCTTACCAAGTTGCTGTTGACATTCAACTCCAATGAACACGCCGTTACAAAATCCTGGCCTTTAACTAATTTAATGAAAGAACATCTTGGGAACCACCTGGCGTGCTCAGTCCATGGATCATCCTGTGGATCCCAGTGCCTCAACCCACCATCACAATGAAAGCACCTGACTTGATCCCCCATTCCTTCATAATAGAACCCAGCCTGTGACAATATATCGGGAGTCTGTATTAAATCAGGAGGCCACATTGTAAAGGATCTCAATCTTGACTCTAAAGTGGCATAATTTGGTTTCTTTGGTCCCTTATGTGTTTGAACGCCCAAACAATGTAAATTTTCATTAGTCACTATGTGAAGATTTGAAAAAGAGGAGTCCGTTTTGACTTTGTCTTCATCATTTGAATTTAAGTTGAGTCTTGGTATGATTTCTGTTAGTACGAATGGACAATCTTCAAAGTGTCTCTTGTGCTCTCTATCAGGATCATCACCTACTTCCCATGCCCTAACTACTCCTTTACAAAAAGCGCATTTTGTGTTGTCTCCAGCGTTGAGATAATAGAATCCAGCACGAGCTAAACTTTCTGCAGTTACGATATGAGGTATAGGCCATCGTTTAAATGTTTTAAGCCTCGCAGCTTCGTCTTTCATCGAGTCAGAGGTTGTTGATGATGAAGGTACGTTAGTAGGCTGTGATATTATAGGAACATTTCCTGAGGTAGTTGGATTTAGTACAAATGGGCAAGTAGGGCTTAAAGTTTTGTGTTTGGCCATTACTTGATCACCATAATTCCATTCGGAGATTGTTAAATGGCATGAGAAACATTCGACTATCAATCCTTGGTTTTTGTAAAAAAAACCAGCTTTGGCAATGCGTTGAGGACTCACCACTGCATCATGTGGCCATTCTTGGAAGGTGTCTAATCTGTTTTGTTCAACGTTCATGTTTATAGATTTTTAGGTTATGTCATTTTTACAAAATTACAGAAAACTGAACTTGGGAGTTTACTAAATGAACGATGTGGACGAAACACTTCACTTTGCTGTTTAAGACATTAATATTCGTTTCTCCTTCTCGAACCACTTCACCAAAGACTGTCAGCTGATGGCTGACATTACCCAGCACCGGTGAGTCGAAGCGCCTACATTACCGATAGAGCAGTCATTATTCAAAACATTTATTTATGTAAAAAAATTATACAACGAAATTTGATTTCTTCTACGTAGTGAAACCTTTACTTTCTTCTACCTTCTTTCTATAGTCTTCCATAATACTACACGTAAGTTCTGAAGTAAGGGTTTGCAACTTTATTAGACATTCAGCTTTCTTGTTATTTATGGCAAGACTAGAATAAATTATTAACAGTAAACAAAGAGAAACAAATATGATTTTCTTTTACTTTCTTGCCACTGTTGATTCCTCTTCTTTTAATTTGCCTGTCATTAGCTGCTCGACTTCATATTTAACTTGATACAATAAGTTATCTGTTGCATTATTTATATGGTACAAAAGATAATTCACGTTTGGACGTTCTTGAGTGTTTATTTCATCTTTATATCTTTCGAAAAGAACTGTTAATCTTTCATTAATTTCTCGTGAATCTAATAATTCCTTGTCGCCCATTTTGGAGAATTAAAGGTTTAGGGATTTTAATCGTATAAACAGAAAAGTAACAAAGCATTTGATGAATCATGAACTAATCACACGTATATTACAGTTTGAAATATTTTTCAACGGGTTTCGATTCCGATTATCGTGAAGTACAGACTTGACTTCAGTCATATGTTATATGTTTCCTATAATTTAAAAATATTAATCATTTTTGGTATGAGCTGTGAGGTTACCGAGATTTGTTTTTCTAATTATGGTGGCACTGCAATGACCAGCGCCACCAGCGCAAATTTTAAACAGTAATGCGTGAATATAATTATTTCAATTATTTGTTTATTTTTGCTAGTACCACAGTACTCACTAGCTATTATGTACATCAGAAGCTACTACTTTTGTTTTTATATACGTTGTGACAAATAGATAATTTTAATAGTTCATATTCATTTAAATTCAAACAATGAAATGGTAGCAACATCAGCTGATAGCCCAGGGCAAAGTCCTTCCAAGTTGTGTTTGCTTGGAAGATATATGATACAGCAATTTTGAAACCACTGCCGTAGTGGTGAGCTGGTGGTCAGTGCTGAAAAGCTACAAAATGTTCACGTTCAAAATATCACAGGTCTGTGTTTCCATACATGATGTTAATTTTATTCTTTTATTTGAATGCAAAAGAGAAAAAATAAATTACTGTAGTGCAAATCCATATGTTACCAGTCTTCTGTTTTCTTGTTTTTTTTTTATGTATTTTCTTTTGCTAGGTTATAGCAAGAGCTTATAGCACAAAACCTCAACTTAATGAAGTAGTGATAGTGTCAGCCACCCGAACCCCCATTGGTTCATTTTTGGGCTCTTTATCTTCTGTCCATGTGACAAAGTTGGGCGCTGCTGCTATTCAAGGAGCTGTTGAACGTGCTGGAATCCCAAAAGAAGAGATCAAAGAAGTTTATTTAGGAAATGTATGTCAAGGGGGTGTAGGTCAAGCTCCTGCAAGGCAAGCAACAATCTTTGCAGGATTTCCAAAATCCACTATTTGTACCACTGTCAACAAAGTCTGTGCCTCTGGAATGAAAGCTGTCATGCTTGCTGCACAAAATTTACAAACTGGCCATCAGGAGGTAGTTTTAGCTGGAGGGATGGAGTCCATGTCAAATGTACCCTATTATATGAAGAGAGGAGCTACACCGTATGGTGGGGTGAATTTAGTTGATGGGATTGTATTTGATGGGTTAACAGATGTTTATAATAAATTCCACATGGGAAATTGCGCTGAGAATACGGCAAAAAAGTTAAAAATATCACGAGAGCAACAGGATGAATATGCTATCTCGAGTTATAAAAGAAGCGCTGAGGCCTACGTTAACAAACAGTTCGACTCAGAACTTGTTAGCGTCAGTATACCACAAAGGAAGGGCCCAGATTTAGTTGTTTCAGCTGATGAAGAGTACAAAAGAGTTGATTTCAATAAATTTAGTAAGTTAGCGACGGTGTTTCAGAAAGAAAGTGGTACAGTAACAGCGGGAAATGCTTCTACATTAAATGATGGCGCTGCTGCTATTATCCTCACTACACCGGAAGTTGCTAAAAAATTTAACGTAAAACCTCTAGCAAGAATTGTAGGTTTTGAAGATGGCGCTACTGAACCTGTAGACTTCCCCATTGCCCCAGCCATAGCAATTCCCAAGCTTTTGAGTAGCACTGGAGTCAAAAAAGAAGATGTTGCTTTATGGGAAATTAATGAAGCATTTAGTGTTGTGGTTCTAGCCAACCAACAACTTCTAGATTTAGATCCCGCTAAAGTTAATGTTCACGGAGGTGCTGTGAGTCTTGGTCACCCAATTGGAATGTCTGGAGCACGTATAATTGTGCATTTGGTCCACGCCTTGAAGCCTGGTCAAAAGGGAGTTGCTTCTATATGTAATGGTGGCGGTGGTGCATCTTCGATTATGATTGAGAAATTGTAAGTTTTATCTGTGTGGCAATTGTTTGAAAAACATATTACACAATCTTTATATCTTCAAAATCTATTTTTATACTACATCAAATGCTGTACAAATAAATATGTTTATACTCTTGTTGTTTTTGTTTTGTTTATCAGGGATGGAAAACTTCCATTTGGTGAGACACCAAAATTAACTTTATACACTAAAGACCCTTGCCCGTTGTGTGATGAAGTGAAAGAGAAATTGCGACTTTTTTCGGATAGAATACATGTTGAAACGGTTAATATTACGCAAAAGGAAAATGTAAGATGGTTGAGAATGTATAGATACGAAATTCCCGTACTTTTTTTGAATGGACAATATTTATGTAAGCATTCTTTAAATGTAAATTTGTTAGAACAAAAACTTAAAGAATTAGGAAGATGAATGACGAATTTACAAAAAAATGTATTTTTGGACAACAACTAACAAGCTTTTAGAGGAAAATACGGAGTATGGAATGTAAAAGTAGGTACGGAAGGGAATAACAATGTTTAAATGGTAATTGTAAAGTATAATGTTTACAACGTTTACTTGACTAGTTGAAGGCTTCCCACACTGAAGGTATTAGACTATAATGTTGCATAAAGTTTACTGTAAACTCTCACATTATTTTTATTATTCTTTAATATACAAAAATTATTGTTTTCATCAATCTTTGTCTTGGAATTTTTAACATACTCCCAAACCAACTATATTTTTTGCACACGTTGCATTTACCCTGAAGGTAGAGGTCATCCTACCTCCATGATTTATCCAAGTAATGAATAGTACGACCCCTGCGGAATTCTGCAAACCACCTAAAAAGGGTGGCTCAAGACGGTGCTTTATTATCAAACACGATTTTTGAACGTTGTAAATGTTCGTCTAGAGTTAATCCAGCTTTAAAATCATAGTGAATCATGGAACGACAGGACTCGCTTGATAACTTCACGTTTCTACCATTTTCAGTCGCTCAACAGTTTCTAATGACTTAAACAGTGATGATCTGATACTTGGGTACTTATTTGTGACAATAAAGTATCATGTTATTATAATATTAATTTCCTAAAACCAACTAGTTTTAAGTATCTCAAATATTACAGAATAGGTAGTTCTCGTAGCATCTAATGATTAATATAGAGGGTTTAGAATCGTTTTTGGAACATAGGGATTTTACATGTAAAAACAAATGTGAAAATATTGGCTCTCCTCATTATATATTTTAGGTCAACACGTTAAATTCAAAAGTTACAGAGAATAAAAAAACTGTTCCTAAATCATTTTTTATTCTTTTCTTAATACTTTTTTACCACTTCAATCATTACATTAACATAGATTAAGGGACTCTTAAGGGTTAAGCAAGGTTTATTAAGTAATGCTGGTGCAACTGGCCATGAGTGGCAAATACTTCAAACTCAAAACTGCTCTTAACTTTTTAAAAATTTCAAGTTGTAAAGCTAATTGAACTCTTCACTTCTAATTAACATTTTCAGTTACTTTTAGTACTGTGCATAGTTAGGGTTGGGTAGTGCTTTGCTAAAATAAGGACATAAGAAAACAATATTTTCAAGTTTTTATTTGGATTTAATTTTGCTATATTTGTTATACTACACACACCTTAGGGAAAATATTCTTTTGCATACCGACCTTTCCATCTTGGTAAATGCGGTCTATGTACCCTTGGTATATACCTAGGTAGTCTTTCATCTAATTTTCTATTCCATGGTTTAATCCCATATTCAAACGGCCTTCTCTTTTTGTCTAAAAACTTGGTCTCATGATCAATTTTATAAATTTTCTCCCAAGCATAGATTTCATAATCTAGAGCATGTCTGGGTCTATTGGAGACCAAATGCTTGTATTCTCTCTCAAGCCATTGTCTCTGATCATCGTCCTGATAATCTCCACATACTTTCTCTTCCTTACTCAAGTAGGGCCTCATTTCAACGCCTAATCTCTCTTCCGGGACATTGGCGTAAAATTTCAATAAATTCTGCAAAACTTGATCATTGAAACCTACCAATTTTCCATCCACAATGCCTTCATAAAGTTTGAGAACAGGGGTTGTCCAACAGATATTACGTTGGGGATTATCTTCAATATGTTTTGAATGAATCAAAACAGTATTCAACTGATACACGAAGAATGACCAAAGCTGACCATTCGTTATTATGGTTTGCGTTAAGAGTGGGTAGGTAACGTCATTGAACGTAGTAAAACCGAGAAAGTTCGCCTGACTGTTTAACCATGCAAAAGATGATAAAATTCCCTGCCTATCAATAGCTCGTAGGTTATCTTCAGGATCTTTATAATGGCGTGTTAAATGATGACCACGCTGGTGGTATGATAAAAGTCCAAATTGGTTCGGATCTCCAGGCCAAAACCCTAAAAAAAAGAGTTGATTCTTATACATATGATAAATTGTTTTTGGTTACTACTACTCTGTTTGTAAAGCAGGTGAAAAATAATTTCAGATTTAAATGAGTAATGTGTGACTACCTTTTTTAAATAAGATATATTTACTTCTCAGTTTCTTAAAATTGTTAGTGGCATAATCGTTGATATGAAATTATTATTAATAGAGAGAAACTATGTTTAGATCTTCAAACCAGATACGTACGTGTTCATTTGCATGCCTTAATTTATCACTTGGAAAAAAATTGGGCTTCGACAGAACATCCCTCGCCCATAAAGTACAGTAGTACAGTATATCAAATCCAGTAAAATTTGAAGATTTGATTTTGCGATTTTTTTACGACAATCATTATAAGTTAAAACAAAGATATGTATGTAATATTCAAGTAAAGGTAAAGAAATGTGCCATGGGTTCCAAGTGAGTTTTTCTATTATAAAATTTTGTGATCATCAACATTTTTGCAAGGACACGTATATCAGTTTGGATAGTTGCAGTGTAATACTAATAATAACAGTATTGTTTTCCCAAATTAACGAAACAATTTAATCACGTCTACCGTGTGTCATCGCATTGGTGCGACTAAAAAATGAACTGAAAATCATTTTTCGATGAATTGCAACCGGATCACAATGCCGATGGTCTAGACTTTTTTATTGCTCTGACTTTCGCATATTAAATAAAACATTGCATTTTATTTTGATTTTTCATGTTGCAATTTTACACCTGTCTGCATTGGCGTCCTCCTCTAAATTTGCAAAGTGTTTAATCACACGGAAGGCTAGACAATCCGTTGGGAAGCTGTAGACTGCAGTTTAGATCTTGTTGGATCTCATCAGTACAGCCCATCCCATCGAGTTGTCTACAGGTGCGCACAGTGTTGCTAATTTTACTTTTATAAAGTTTTTTTTCGTAATCCACATCATAATAGTGTATTATACTCGCTTCATAAGACGCATCGTCGCACTCGTGTCTTTGAAGCACTCCACGCTTCGCTCGTCGTGCTTCAAAATACTCGTGCGCCAATAGAGCGTCTTATGCAACATGTATAATAATATACTATTTTATTATTTTTTGGGACTCCCGAAACCCCCGTACATAACGTACTGAAGACACCCGGTATAATCAACTTGGATTGGTGCCGTGTAATACAAAAAGTAAGAGTATTGTTTTCCCAAAATTTACTGGGCATATGGAGTGAGCCGTTTAATCAATAAAATAAATTGACTCATTCATTAATTTTTTTGAGCCACCTGCTTAAGCAAATCTTAAAATATGAATGCAATGATAAATCACACGTAAAAATTCATCATATTTTGCACATTTTGGGTACAATTTATTTCGCAAAATTTTGAGATGACGTCATCAATGTTTTGGGGGAACAAACAGATACATTTTTGATTAACCATTTACCCTGCTTACAATAACTTTAAAACGTCTGCAAGATTTCAAAGTATTCAGTTTTGCAATTCTTGATTTATACAATAAAATAAAATGACTGATTCATTAAATTTTTGAGTTACCCTGTATAAGCAAATCTAAAAAAATGTGAATGCAATGAAAAATCACAAGTATAGGCTGATCATATTTTGCTCATTTTAGATAGGATCTATCCGGAAAAAATTTGATATGACGTCACATCAATTTTTTGGGGTTGATAAACAGATATATTTTGATTAAACGTTACCATATTTACAACTTCAAAACGTTTGCAAGATTTCAAAATATTCAGTTTTGCAATTCTTGATTTAAACAATAAAATAAATTGACTCGCTCATTAATTTTTTTTAAGACATCCTGTATAAGCAAATCTAAAGAATATTAATGCAGTGATAAATCACAAGTCTATACTCATCATACTTTGCACATTTAAGATAGGATTTATTCAGCAAAATTTTGGGGTGACATCATCAACTTTTTAGAGGGGATGAGCAAATACATTTTGATAAAAAAAATTACCATGCTTATGATAACTTTAACACATCTCCAACATTTTAAAGCATTCGGTTTTGCAGTTCCTGATTAAATCAACAAAATAAATTCATGCATTCATTATTTTTTTTTATCACCATGTATAAGCAAATCAAAAAAATTGGTCTAAAGAGTTTAGACAGTACTTCCCTCGCTGTCGAAAACGTGACGACTGCATGCCTATTATGTATATTTTTTCGCATTAGATTTCAAAGCATTCGGTTTTGTAGTTCTTGATTAAATCAATAAAATAAATTTACCCATTCATTAATTTTTTGGGTCACCTGTATATGCAAATCCAAAAAATATGAATGGAATGATAAATTACAAGAAGAGACTCATCATATGTTGTACATTTTAGATAGGATTATTCGGCAAACTTTTGAGGTGACGTCATCAATTTTTGGAGGGGACAAGCAAATATATTTTGACTAAAAATTTATTATGCTCTTTATAACCTTAAAACATTGCAAAATCTCAAAGCATTTGGTTCTGTAGTTGCTGATTAAATCAATAAAATAAATTCACGCATTCATTAATTTGTTTGGGGTCACCCTGCATATGCATATCCAAACAATATGAATGGAATGATAAATCACAAGAAGAGACTCACCATATTTTGTACATTTTAGATAGGATTTATTCAGCAAAATTTTGGGGTGACCTCATCAATTTTTTGGAGGGGATAATTAAATATATTGTGATTAAAATTATATCATGCTTATCATAACTGTAAACCATCTGCAAGATTTCAAAGCATTCGGTTTTGTAGATTCCAAATTAAATGTCAAAATGTTGTTTCCTAACTTTGATTTTTTTTCCGAAAATCTGGACGTTTCGGGTAAAATCTCAATTCGGACTCATAAACTACATGTGTAAGACTATGCCATTTCATACAATTTAAAACCCAATTATTATGTACAATTTTGAAGTGACGTCATCACATTAGTGGTGGGGATGATTAGACATATTTTAGTTAGCGTTTTACCATCTACATGATATACCTAATATAAATAGAAAATTTCATAATAATCGGTCCAGTACTTTCGGAGATTATCTGTCTAATAAAAATCCGGGACGGCAGACAGACGCACAGACGGACAGATGGACAGACGGACAGACAGACGGAAACGGGAGATCTATTTCTTCGTCTTCTAGGGGTCATGAAAGATCGAGAAAATGTAAAAGTAGAGAGTCGGCCGACGGACTCGATTACAATCCTTTGCTTACGCTCGGGAAGTAAAAAGTATACACCCATCATATTTTGGGCCTTCTAGATAGGATTTATTCGGCAAAATTTTGGGCTGACGTTATCAAATTATTATGTTTATCATAACTTTAAAACATCTGCAAGATTTCAAAGTATTTTATTATTAAAATGCAAAATGTTTCATAATTTTGATTATTTTTCAAAAAATCTGGACGTTTCGGGTAAGAACTCAAGACGGAGTCATAAACTATATGTGAAGGACTATCTTATTTTATACAATTTAAAACACATTTACAGTTTTAGAAATTTCATTCTATCCTATAAAATTTTATTGGCAATAACGAGACGGAGAGTAGTACAATAGCAAGACATATTTACAACTTAAAGTTGTCGCATGTCGGTAAACCCAGATGTCAGAAAGCAGAATAATCCAGGTCCGGACAGTACTCACGAACGAAAATGACCATTAGTTTATGAGTACAATTACCTGCCAAATGTTCTCCGACAAATTCGGGTGAAGTAGTGTGAGCCATAAATATTTCTTACCATACTGGTCGTCTCGTGTTTGTCAATAAAATTTATAAGGTAGAATGAAATTTTCAAAACTATACGATGTACAATTTTGCAGTGGTCATCACATTATTGGTGGGGATGTTTACACAAATTTTGGTTAGCATTTTACAATCTACAACATATTCCTAATTTAAATAGAACATTTTGCAACAATCGGTCCAGTACTTTCGGACTGTCTAATAATAAAAGTCCGGGACGGCAGATAGACGGACAAAGGTCGAGAAAACGTAAAAGTAGAGAGTCGGCCGACGGACTCGATTGTAATACTTCCTTCGCTTAAGCTGGGGAAGTAATAATAATTTAGGCGACACATTTGAAATGTTATTAATTTTAAAAGACGCATTAAAAATGAATAAAAATTTGTTATCAGTTGTTTTATTTGCCAAAGCTTGACAAAGGATCTGTTTTTTGTATCTATTATCTAGATACATTTCGAAAAAATTGAAAACAATCTGTATCTAGATAATTTTTCAAAGTATCTGCCCCTAACACTGCTAATAAACATTTAAATTTGACAACAAGTGGTCCAGTAGCTTCGGAGATTATCTATCTAATAAAAATCTGGACGGACGGTAAACAGACAGACAGACGGAAACGAGAGAGCCATTTCTTCGTGCTCTAGAGGTTATGAAAGGTCGAGAAAATATAAAAGTAGAGAGTTGGCGGACGGACTCGATTACAATACTTCCTTCGCTTACGCAAATAAAAATGACAAAAATCAATTTTATAATTTTTCAAAGTAGCTGTATTTGTTTGACTGCACTTCAGGGAGTTCTGTCTAAATAACCTTAGACAGCGTAAGCTTTCGGCATAGTGGGAGAAAACTCATAATAGGGTCGCCTCGCAACACTTACATCACAGCCTTCTAATTAAAAATGATTGTGCTTATATCTCGCTAATACATGGATGCTGAACTCAGACATATAGTCGCTGTTTCCGTCCACTGGTTGGTGGTTCCCCAAAGTAGCGCGAAAATATGACATTTCAGCATAGTGAGAGAAAACACATAGGGTCGCTACACTTACTAAAAGCTGGTTTACATTATTCGATTTTCGTATTCGACTTTTTGATTCGATTTTTTCATTCGAGACCATCGAATGAGATCTCGAATTCAAAATCGTTTTGTCTTTATTACATAGCATTATGTTTTTAAGTTCGATGATGCTGTCAAAAATTAGAAATCTGTCAAAATGCTGTCATTCTGCTTGCATTGAGGTTGTGTATTTATTATTAGATTGTTCCCTCAGTTTGTTACATTTTTCTGGTTATTGGGTTTGTGCAAGTGGAGACATTAATAAATAAGCATGCCTAGACATAAGAATTCATGACGCCTCGTCAGCTGATCGGTGATGGATTTAGCATTACTTGCGCATGCGTTGCAAAAATCTCGAAAGGAAAATCGAACGAAAGATCGAACGTCGCTATGTCGAATCTAGTGTTTTATGTTTATTCATCGGAAGAATGTCACGTAGAAACTTGAAAGTGTTTATTAAAAGTTTCAAGTTGTTTTACTTAACGAGCGTAAACTAAGGAAGTATAGTAACGGAGTCCATCGGGCGACTTGTTACTTTCATACAAAAATTTTTGCCTCCCCTAGAGCTAGATAAGTTATAATTAACCAAATGTGAATTACAACATGGAAAATCAAAATAAAATGCAATGTTTTATTTAAGAAGTGGAGTCGGAGCAATAAAAAAATCTAGACGATCGGCATTCTGAATCGGTTATTGCAAACTGCAATTCGTAGAAAATATCTTTTAGTTTAGTTTCTGTTTCACTTTCACGTATCACCTCAACATGCGTTATACCTAACTGTTGTATCTTCCGAGTATTATAAATTTTCGATTCAGTCTTTAACAAAGAAGATTAACAAAATTTGTAGAAGAAGTATGTGTGTGTGTGCGTGCGTGTGTCGCATTTCTTAAAACCGACGTTTGTCGTCACTTATTTCATACACATATTTTCATCGTATTCTGAAGCTCATCTAAAGTGTGGGGTACAGCTACACTTAATTAATATGCTGGTCAAAAAACATAAAAAATAAGCGTAGTAAAAACGTTGAAAAAAAAAATTAACTGGCCCGTATTTCATGCCGGTGAGTGTAGAAAAACTCACTTGAAACAAACGAATAGCACGTTTCTTTACCTTTACTTGAACATACATATCTTTATTTTAACTTACAAGGTCTGTTATAAAAAATAAAATTGGCAAATTCAAATCTTTTCATTTTTTGAAAAAGTTGGATTTGATGTATCTTCAAAACATTTTTCCACATGGAATAAATACAACACAATAACAATTTGGACCATTAAATAGGGCCTTCGAAGTTTTAAATTATTACACAATAAACGTACTCCTACACTTCTTTTTTACTTGTATCAAAATCTAAAACTTGTAGCAAAATGGGCATACACAGTATTTAAAAGTTTCAATTTTAAAAAGTAAAAATATCACAAAAATATTCTCATCAATTCATGATTCGTGCTACCAACATATTGCGTTATTTATTTTATGTAAAGTTTTTACCTGGTATATTGGCAATATGCCTGAATTGATTTGCTGTACCCACTGTTCTTGGATCCAGTTTAAAACGGGGGACAATAAAATCTGGATTTTCAGACTCACTCAGTGATAATATTGGACGCAATGGCTTATTAGACCTCAAGGCTACACTAGCTGTGCCTATGTAATTCATAGCGCGATTTGTAGGTGCATCCACTTCATTTTTACGCCATTCTTGTCCACGTTTACACCTCTTAATATTTTCAGGAGGGTCCATACCACCAGCAAACCATAGTGACTCAATTCTTGGATTAAAATCAACCTGAAATAATCAAAATCTCTAAATGAATAACTCTGAGATAAACTTGCAAATTTTTACCTGTGCACTATCTATGTGAGAATAATGTTTAGACATACTGTTAATAATTATTCGATTTATTTGTTTACTTAAAGCTGAACTAACAATATTTTCTCTTTCCCCTATGTTTAATTGCACTTTATGTAAATCTACCTTTTGCCTATAATTTATAACATTATTTACAACTAATTCACAACTCTTAAAAGTAGTCACCTGCACTGATCCATTTCAATCAAAATTGTTTCTTCTATATCATTTTTTACCGCAGTTAGTAAACTGCTGACATCAATTCCATTGTAAAAGTTTGGTAAATTTTCGTCTCGTATTAAATGGGTCCTCGTCACATGTTGAATCAACTCCAAATTATTGTATGGGATATACTCTTCTAAAAGCATGTAACACTTAAAACCATAATACTTCGACATGTTCAGCTTAATTTGTTTTTCTTCAACTGTTTTAACTGCTTTGATTGCTTCATACTCTGCCTCTTTCTTTTTTGCGGCTACTTTTTCATGGGATATATCAAGAATTGGTGGGTATTGCGGAGTGTACGAATATTGATCTTCTTGGGGCAGTCCAGTGGACACATATCTATATTCTTTGACGCAATTTAACAAGGGTCTTCTGAATCTTAGAGCAGACATGCTTTATTTGACTTTTGTTTTTGTCAGAATTAATTTCGGTTAACTTTCACCATTGGTACCGCACTAAAATCCATGATCAAACATACCTAACCTCACAGCCTAACCATAGATTAATATAGATGCGACCAGCGTTGCCGCGACCTCTTTCGATGACGTACTGAATTTTCTAAGCAAAGTGCTATTTCAAATTAAATGCAAATTTTAAAACATTTTAATTTTTTATTTCATGATAGAGAATTACATAATCACTATATTAAACAAAATCATAAAGCACAATAATATAAGTAAATTAAAAAAATAAATAAATAAATTAGATTATTATAATATATTATTATTATTTATTATAATAAATAATTTATTTAATTTAATTATTCTTGCTAAAATCTCTAATTTTTTAAATTCAACCGGTGTCGATTTATTTTGTTGTTATTGTAGTAATTTTCTTGGTCACTTTTTTAACAGAAACAACGTAGATCTCAGTCCACTATTTATATATGATGTTCCATTATTATACAAGTTGCAAATAAAATTACTTGATTATAATTTGCTCCTCATCACTCGTTAATTATAATAATTTTGTAAAATGTATACCATATTTTCGGACAGAGGGAGTACCAAATTCATAGTTTTTAAACCTAGCGCGCTATTGTTCATATTGTATTTCAGTCATCTACTTACCAATAGAGGGCAGGTTACAGTAAAATACAGAACTTTCACTCAGTGACCATTAAGATTTGCAGTTATGTATCTCTACCATCTGTACCTTAAGGCTCCCCCTTACAGTCATTAAAATCTGCCGAAATACGGCAAAACGCCACTTCCAATATCATCCTTACTATAGCACTTGAAGACTTGTGCGACATATCTACTTGTTCGTAATAAGAAAATCTTCATGGAAATAGTTTTTATATTGCATTAAAGGCTTTCGTTTTTTTAATAAAAAATTGGTCTAAAGAGTTTAGACAGTACTTCCCTCGCTGTCGGAAACTTGACGACTGCATGCCTATTGTGTTTTTTTTCTCATTACATTTTTGTAGTGGGAATTTAAAAAAAAATTGCGATGACGTCATCAACATTTTTGCAAGGACACGTATATCAGTTGGGATAGATGTAGTGTAATACTAAGAATAAAATTATTATATTCTCAAATTTTCGGGAAAATGAATTGGGTCGTTTTGAATATTGATTTGTAATAATCAATAAAATAACGAAACAATTTACTCACGTATACATATCAGAGGCAACTGAAAATCGTGTATGTATAAACATTCTTAATTTAAGATGACAGGCGTAACAGCATACGTGAGAGTCAAACAGAGAAACTGTAAACAAAACGACAATCGGTTTTATTGCGTCGACTTCCGCTTATTATATAAAACATTGGATCTTATTTTAATTTTTGACGGTGGAATTCACAATTGGTTGATTTAAAACATGTCTATACCACATTCGCGGAACCAAGTGAGCGCATAAAACAAATGCAGGTCTGTAATGTTAAAGTCGATGTAAATAAGCGTGCTACCCTTATGTTTCAACCGAGTTTTTCCTTTAACAAATTTTGTGTCTACCAAATTGGGTTGGTTGGGGTGTAATACTAATAATAAATGTTGCCTTTAATTTAATCAATAAAATAAATTGACTTCATTAATTTTTTTGAACCACCTCTTAAGAAAATCTAAAAAATATGAATGGAATGATAAATCACAAGTACAAACTCATCATATTTTTTGCATTTTAGATAGGATTTATTCAGCAAAATTTAAGGGTGACGTCATCAATTTTTTTAGGAGGGATGAAGAAATACATTTTGAACAAAAGTTTACCATGCTTATAATAACTTTAAAATATTCCCAAGATTTCAAAGCATTCGGTTTCGTAATTCCTGATTAAATCGATAAAATAAATTCACGCCTTCATTAATTTTTTTGAGTCACCCTGCATATGCAAATCCAAAAATATGAATGGAATGATAAATCACAAGTACAGACTCATCATATTTTGTACATTTTAGATACGATTTATTCGGCAAACTTTCGAGCTGACGTCATCAAGTTTTTGGAGGGATAAGCAAATATATTTTGACTAAACATTTATTATGCTCTTTATGACCTTAAAACATCTGCAAGATTTCAGAGCATTCGGTTTTGTAGTTCCTGATTAAATCAATAAAATATATTTACGCATTCATTAATTTTTTTGAGTCACCCTGTATATGCAAATCCAAAAAATATGAGTGGAGTGATAGATCACAAGTACAGACTCATCATATTTTGTACATTTTAGATATGATTTATTCCACAAACTTTTGAGCAGACGTCATCAAGTTTTTGGAGGGGATAAGCAAATATTTTTTGACTAAAGATTTATGATGCTCTTTATAGCCTTAAAACATCTGCAACATTTCAAAGTATTCTGGTTAGCAGATTAAAAATTAAATTTCAAAATGTTGTTTTATAATTTTGATTTTTTTTCCAAAAATCTGGACGTTTCGGGTGAAAAGTCGATTCAGAGTTGTAAACTACATGTGTAGGACTATGTTATTTTATACAATTGAAAACCCATTTACTATGTACAATTTTGAAGTGACGTCATCGCATTAGTGGTGGGGATGATTAGACAAATTTTGGTTAGCGTTTTACCATCTACATGATATTCTTAATATAAGTACAAAATTTCACAACAATCGGTCGAGTACTCTCGGAGATTATCTGTCTAATAAAAATCCGTGACGGCAGACGGACAGACGGACAGACGGACGGACAGACGGACGGACAGACGGACAGACGGACAGACAGACGGAAATGGGAGACCTATTTCTTCGTCTTTTAGGGGTCATGAAAGATCGAGAAAACGTAAAAGTAGAGAGTCGGCCGACGGACTCGATTACAATACTTCCTTTGCTTACGCTCGGGAAGTAAAAATCTGACAGTGTAGATAATATTATTGCTCACGTGGGACTAAACATTATTTTTTCGTTAAACTATCCATTTTTTAGTTATTGTTGATTAAAGCAAGACCTAAAAAGGGCATTTTTGGTAAATGTAGGCAACCAAACACCTTCTTTCGTCAAGAACGAGCCAAGAAAGTGTATGATTTACGATAGGGGTTGGCCACTATTGAGAGATTAGACGGATTGTTATTTGATACAATTTAAAACCCATTTACTATGTACAATTTTGAAGTGACGTCATCACATTATTGGTGAGGATGATTAGACAAATTTTGGTTAGCGTTTTACCATCTACATGATATTCCTAATATAAATAGAAAATTTCACAATAATCGGTCCAGTACTTTCGGAGATTATCTGTCTAATAAAAATCCGGGACGGCAGACAGACGGACAGACGGACAGACAGACGGAAACGGGAGACCTATTTCTTCGTCTTCTAGGGGTCATGAAAGATCGAGTAAATGTAAAAGTAGAGAGTCGGCCGACGGACTCGATTACAATACTTCCTTTGTTTACGCTCGGGAAGTAAAAAGATGCATTGTATATATTTTTTTTAAATAAAGTTACATTGTAAAGGAAAAAAAACAAAGTGACGAAGCATGAGAACGAGTGAGAAAACTAAACTATTTCATTTTAAATCAATAAAAGTTTTATTCTTGAACTGAAATTCATCGTGTCCCTCAGAACATTAGAATGAATATTAGATAAAAAAATTGGTCTAAAGAGTTTCGACAGTACTTCCCTCGCTGTCGGAAACATGACGACTGCATGCCTATTATGTTTTTTTTTTCGCAGAAGATTTCAAAGCATTCAGTGTTGTAGTTCCTGATTAAATCAATAAAATAAATTCAAGCATTCATTTTTTTTTTTGAGTCACCCGGTATATGCAAATTAAAAAAATATGAATGGAATGATAAATTACAAGTACCGACTCATCATATTTTGTATATTCTAGATAGAATTTATTCGGCAAACTTTTGTGCTGACGTCAACAGTTTTTTGGAGAAGATAACCAAATATATTTTGACTAAAAATTTAGTATGCTCTTTATAACCTTAAAACATCTGCAAGATTTCAAAACATTCTGTTCTGTAGTTCCTGATTAAATCAATAAAATAGATTTACGCATTCATTAATTCTTTTGGGTCATCCTGTAAATGCAAATCCAAAAAATGTGAACGGAATGATAAATCACAAGAAGAGACTCATCATATTTTGTACATTTTAGATAGGATTTATTCAGCAAAATATTGTGGTGACGTCATAATTTTTTTAAGGGGGACGACCAAATACATTTTGATCAAAAAATTACCATGCTTATGATAACTTTAAAATATCTTCAAGATTTCAAAGCATTCGGTTTTGTAGTTCCTGAGTAAATCAATAAAATAAATTTACGCATTCATTAATTTTTTTGAGTCATCCTGTATATGAACTGTAAAATCTCGTTGAACAAGTTAACAACACTGTGGGTCATGTGGGACGTGCATTTTATTGCTTTGATTTCGATCATTATTTGCACAACGCCACAGGATTGATTGCATTTCTGGGAGACTTTTTTGGAACGACGCATTCGTCCGACGCCATTTTGAACCTCCAGATTGCCTGTTATGTTTTTTTGTGTTTGTTTGGGGAAATGTATAACGATGGCTCACAATTTGTATTGATTTAGTACGTTTAATTTGATTTCATTTGAAGTTTGGAAAGTGGAGGAATAAATAATTTTGTGTCCTCCATATATTTGGTGTTTTATTTAGCGGTACTTTTCCAACTTTGGTGTCCACCACTTGTATCTGAACGCATTCCACCACAAAAAAAATCACAACGTAGGTTTCATTTTGTTAGATGATCACAGCTAAGGCCAAATTTTTGACTTTTGAATTTTTCGCGGGCTTTCAATTTTTTTTTTAAAGCGGGATCTTGGGTTATCACAATATACTATTGTCATGAGGTTTGTAACTTTAAATTTTCAATTAATTTGTTATTTTTTTTAGGAAATATGCCAGGCAAAGAACTATGTACCCCCCCTGAGATGCTGTTATTATGGCAGTTGGCACTTTTACATTCCTCGTGAAAATAATTTCAAATATTTGGTCAATAATAATTTCACTTCCATTATTAACCTTGGTCAAATTTAATTATCATTATTGACTTTGGTAGAGAAAAACGAATTCTCTATTCACAGACAAACATGACAATGGTTAATTTTGTAGGCTTCTAGTGAAAAAAGTAATTTAGCAGTGAAGGGGAATGACAATAGCGATTGATATGAAAGCTCGAATTTTCAAAATTTGCAGCCACTTTTCAAGCAGCCCTTGAAGAGCAATAATTGTGGATCTTGTAATTCTGAGTTATATTGTGATTGTGATTATTATTATTATTATTACAATGATCACCTTGGCTTGGCTTGAAAATATTTTGTTAATGCACTGAGAAGTTGTCTAAAAATTTAAATGCGCAATGTAACCTTTGTTTACCTGCAACAAAAATTTTGTCGTGCAGTTTAGCAGCATCCTCAAATCTGCGGAAACATATTTTGGTAAGTACTGAAATAATTTATTTTCAATTAGATCTTTTTGAATCAAAGTGCTCCATGTTTTAGAGACATGTTTATAAAATATAATACAACAATTCCATTTAGTGCCGCTGTGGATAGAATGTTTAGTGTTGACGCGGATGTTTTTATTATAAAACTGAGGAAAATTTTGAGTCTCAATTATTGTTTAATTTAAATTATGAATATACTCCTCTTGTGTGAAGTATATGTATATTTATTTTATCTTATTGATGTGAATATGTAACGAATGTGTTAATATATACAAATGCGTTAATAAAATAAATCACTCACTGTCTTTTTCATTCTAACACGTTTTTTCTTGGCCCCTTGGATGTTAGAAAAAATTATGTACTTATACAACAAATATCTAAAATTGTCTCCTTATCAAATTTTCAAAGTACAAAAAGTAATTGTTAAAGCAATGAATTACTATTTTTACTGAATAATGACTAATGAGTAATGCAATGAATTACTTTTTAAAAGTAATTGTTCCAATCAATGAGTATACTTATTTAAAAAGGCAATTGATTTGTACAATATAGCATTAATCAATCCACAGTAATCACTTCACATCGTTTAGCAACTGATTTCAATATTTTGCATAACTTGTGCGGTTTTGACCTACATCCATATGCAAATAGTTTTGAAAAAAAGAAGATGCTACAGGTCAAGTGTATTATTATAATCATAATCTCACAAGATTTAATTGACCATAACCAAGGACTCGCATTATTCGTTTTCGATTCTTCGAGAATATTTCTAGTTCGATAATTCTGCTATAATATTATCGCTTATCTGAATTTCAAATAATTATCCGTTTAGTTGTTTGAAACTACGACAAACTTCGTTAAATATTACAATAAAGCATCTCGTAGTTAGTAGATAATTATCACACAAATGTTTCACCCGTAAATTAATTAATTATGGAGAATGCATAACAGAGCAAAAAATGGAAAACAATCAAAGTATCGGAAAAACTGGCTGTAGGTAAAAATTTTTCTGCGAAAGTTAAAAAGGAAGAACAAAAAATTTAAATAAGTAAATATTGAAACATCTTATTAATTTGTAATCATGTGATTTCGCGTATAGGTAGGAGTACGTTAGCACTTCACCTGCAACAGTCGTACTGAATGCACGTTTTTTAAATGAAAGTGAATTAGTGAGTGTTTAAAGATGGGACGAGGAGGAGTTGGTTCCACAAGATCTGAATTTTTGGCTGAAGAATCTATCGACGATATTCGATATCACAGGAATGGGGGCTGTTTCGTCACCACCAAAAGGGCTATATCGTTTGTGCTTATAGCAGTACTGTCACTACTTCTAGTTGTGATACTGATGTACTACTATGGACCAAATCGGAAATTAGAGGAGGTATTTTTTATTTATTCGTGCAACAGTTACGTAATGGAAGAATAATGTATGTGAATTTAACCGTAAAGTACTTGCGGTACTAACAAATAATAAACAAAAAAATTATCACAATTAAAAATATTTTTCGGTCAAAAGTCGTAGCAAAGCAATGAATATTTGTTAGTACTCGCCTTGTTTGGTATCACATTTAATTATTATTGGACTATATTGGTACAAAAATGATTCATCATCAATTATCACGGTTGTCATTAATAACCTTCACTGCTTTTATTATTGTGTTTATATGTATTGACTGTCTATTTTGAAAAATGTTCGAAATTTCGCCGGTTTAAAGGCCACTATTTAAAATGTAGTGGCATATAGGTGTCAAGGTCTCCATGCGATTTTTTCCGAAGGTTTTCTATTGATGTTACGTGTATGAATTGAGGTAATTTTTCAGGAATTTTGATTTCAGACAGGAAGTACTTTACAAATGGATAATTTTGTTTTTCTTGACATGACATTGATTGTTATGTAATAAAATTTAAATTGATAAACATGTTCCTTTATTAATAATAATTGGTAGATATCAATTAAATCTTTAAGGTGTCTATTACTACACTATGTGCACAGTTTAAACATAGCTATAGAATTTTAAATTGCACATTTTGTCGTGCTTCTAATAGCATATTGTTGTTTAAGGTCACACACTAAATCGAATTTTATTATTTCTCATGTAATGAACCCAATGCAAATAAAAAGAAACATTTTACGATGTAAATTTATTGACTGGAACGTTTTGCTGTAGGTATTTGTTTTTAGCTAAATATTTGTAATTTTATTGCCTACTTCTGTGATTTTTTTGATTTATTTTTTGCGCGACATTTTGAGTGATAAATGACCGAAAAAATGATTATAATGAAGAAGTTTTCATATTGATAAAGAGATGCAGATTATTGTTTCAAGTTCTGTGTAATTTCGTTATTTATCTGTCGTCATTAGAATATGATATATTAGATGTTTTGAATTTTTTATTATATGTATATGTAACGAGAAAAAAAAACTTCTAGAACTAACTAGAAAAACGAACAGTTTTTAATTTTATTAATCTATCATATGTATATCCCACATTGTTTGTTATGAGTCACATTAATAATAATAGTTATAATAATGAAGAATACAAAATGTGTAAGGTGAGTATAGTGGCCGCCAAAATATAGTGCGTTTATGGCTTTGGTTTTTTAAGTATTTTACAGCGGAACATAAAATTCGACAACTGCAAACTCCGGCAGGTGCCACGGTCGAAGAAATACGCAAAGGGCCGCAGTAAAAAAATTTTGTTTTTAACAATTCATTTTTAAAATATATGAGAAACAAGGTTATTGCTTAATTACTAAGAAACATACCTGTATATACCTGGGTTTCTTTTACCCAGAAATGTGTCGCTAGTGTAGACAAAATTATTTCTAGAAACATATCTTATAGTTAATTCGTTACAAATCTACCTGGATGTTTTCAAACGCAAAGTCGGGTGGTGAAAGGGTGAATATTGAAGGATAAATATTTCAGCACGGCTTTAAAAATTTACTTGCCTCTTTTACGGTTTCTCCACAGGTTGTATTTTCCTGTGTGTCGGTTTTGCCTTCTGTGTGTTTTCTTTCTTGTAATCAAGCAGTCTTTTTTAACACTCTGTTATTTTGAGATTATAGGAAGGACCGATTTTATTTTGAAGGAAATAATACAAAAAAGGAGTTACTAGAAATTCTAAAAACTCGAGACTATTGTAAACAATACAAAATAGACAAAATGGCTCAGGACCAAGAACGTCGAATAGAATAAGTTACAAATGTATAATCGTAATCGACGAGTAAAGGTGTACAGATACTCGGGTGAGAGATATGCATCGTGTAATATTGTGAGAACAGTGGAATTTGGTGGAGGATCCGTGATTGTCTGGGGTGGTGTATCATTGGAGGCGCGTACGTACAGAACTTGTTACAACTGGATGAGCACTTAATGTGTACAGATAGATATTGGAACCATATGTTGTACCTTATGCCCCATTTATAGCCGACCAATTTCTTATTATGCAGGATAATATTCGTCCGCATATTGCTGGAACTGTCCGCGACTACCTTGAAGAGACTAATATTACGACAATGGTCGGGCCTGCAAAGAGTCCGGATTTAGTTAAATTCCATACAGCATGTGTGGGACAATTGGGACATCTTAGGAAGATGGTTAAGAACTTCAGACCAGCGATCAAATACACTAGAAGAAGTAGGAAACAGGTTAATAAAAATTTGGACCAATTTTGATAAACGAAATTTGAACAGACATTGTAAACATTTGACCAAGATGTGAAGCCGTTATCAGCGCCAGAGGTGGCAGTTTACGAGGCCAGTAAAATCTAACTTTTCGGACATAATGCGTACAATATATTTTGTTACAATTGTAAATTAGTAAGTTTTCCACTTTTAACTAAAGAATTTATCGTTTTAAAACCTGCGATGGGTTCTGAAATAATAATATTGAGCCAACAAAAACTTTTCAATTGATGCTTCTGTCTACGATTTTTCGTGATTTTCGGTTTGAAAATGAGCGAGGAAAGTGATGTAGACTGTGAAAATATTATTAATAAGGTCGCTAAAGCGTATTGTGACAATTTGATATCTTCTGTGTAGCGAGAAATGATGTATTTGAGTCATGGTGTAATGAAAAAAAATGAAACAGATAACTGAAGCAGTAGCCTTTGTGTACATTGGAGAAAAAAGTAAAATTTGTAAACCATAAACCTCGAGAAGCTACCATTCTAGTATGCCGAAAACCACACTCAAATGGAAACCAGACGTAGATATTATTACGATTTTCGTTAATTTAAAGTCCACGTGGGTAAACTCAACAATTTATTTGCACAGCGATTATGTACAAAATAATTCGGGTGCAACTTGGCTAGACTCTGTTTTGACTGAACTGGCTGAATACGCATCATTCCCGAATGTGGGCTCTACTTAAAGCCATACTTCCCCCTTCCCTTCTAGAAGTTCCGCAGTCGAGGTCTTTCTGGATTACCCATCGCGACTTCCTCTTACAGGTTTTTCTTTAGCGAACGCAGCCTGGCCGCTGTCACCGACGATGAGTCAACATCGTCGTACATACCAGAACCTATAGGCGTCGTACTGGGGCGGCATATGGGGTGACTCCGTAACACTGCCCTCTCCTTAGTTTTGATGGTCCCGATCAGAAACATCAGTGGTGTCACTGTCGTATTTTATGAGGCGGCTTAAGTGAACAATCTTCATTTTCGTTTTCGGCCTTTGTCGAATCCTGTAAACGACATCATTGATTCTCGTCACGACAGTATATGGGCCTTCCCAGTCTGGTGACAACTTCGGGCAACGACCATTTCTTCTTCGGGGGTTATAGAGCCATACTTAATCTCCTGCCTGGAACTCTACTGAGTTGTCCGTAAGATCGTAACGTATCTTCATTCTACCACTCGCCACCCTATTCTTGTGGTGCAGCATTTCGTGAATGCTCGGCAGTTTCTCCTGTAAGCCATCGTGGTAGCCTTTGACATTCTTCCTGTATTTGTTCCCTTCTTCGGTCACTGGGAGGGGACCCGCTCTATCTCCTGCTGTTCTTCCAAAAAGCGAACTGACGTTCTGTGATTGCATCGGCCTTCTCGCCGTAATCTTAGGTCTTTTAACCGCCGCACAGGACCTACACTTCTTGCACCAGCTCTCGATGTCTTTTCGGCAACACACCCAGTAGAATCTCTCCCTAACTTTGGAAAGCGTCTTGTTTATTCCAGAATGAGCACCAGAACCTCCGTTGTGCATTTCTTGAAGTACTTTCTTGGTTCTAATGGCCGGAACCACCAACTGCATTGTGACATGCCTTCCATCCGGACTTTCCCAGGGTCCTTAAGCAACCTGTTCTCGACATGCAAGGAATCCATAATGCCTTGAAAGAAGGTGACTCGTCTGGTGTTTTCGACCAGCCAGATCGTTCTATCACATTTTCCTTCCATTTGAAGAGTGGCCCTATATCCTCGTCTTCCTCCTTTCTACACCGAGCTGTAGTCCATTCATCATTTTCTACGACTGCTTTCTTCCTGCTCAACCTCGTCGTAGTGTTTGCGGTTCTGATAAGCGATCAATCTTGGAGGCTTCGCTTCAATACACTGCTGATTTAGCTTGAAGAGCAAGACATAGGACTTGCCTCACTGGATCAACTGTCAATCCATGGCGGCTATTCAAATCCCTTCCCCAAATTAAGTCATCTTCCATGGTAGCTACCACAGCCCGATGTCTTATTCTCAGCTGACCAATACCGATTTCTACCGATGCTTCGCCCATGATCGGCGTCGACTCTCCAGTTACAGTTTTCAATCTGATCGTTTCGGGTATAGTTTGTACATCTTCAGCTCTCACGAGTCATTTACGTACAATTGATACCTCAGCGCTAGTATCGATGGTGATTGCTGCTGGATTTTCGTAAATCTTCCACGGTATAATTGAACCACTACTTCTGGTAAAACTTCTTATTTTCACTTCACTGGCGACCTTATTCTCATCAGCGACTATGACTACTGGCTCTTTTTAGATATAGGTAAGATCTCTGTTGCGTGTTTTTTCTTGGAACTGGTGATCGAGCACGACAATTGCTTGTGTCTCTGGCGTCCTCACCTATAGCATTCCACACTTTGCTTACGAGACACAGCATTCTCCCGTCTTCGAAAGAAGCCAAATATTTGACAGTTTCTCTAGCAGCTTCTCTATCTTGTTGTTTTCTTCTTTCTCTCTTCCTGCCACGCTGACTTTGTAACACGTTCTTGAGGAACTCTACGCCGCCTCCACTTCCAGCGCACAAATAAAGACATCGAATGATGTTTGATACCCTGATAGTTGTAAGACCTTCTTAACTTCAACGTCGCGAATGCCACTTAAGATTTCTATCGCAAGTCTCCCTGAATAATCATCTAAAAAAAATATAGACGTGTATGAGATGCGTTTGAA